CCCCAAAACCCCAAAACCCCAAAACCCCAAAACCCCTTTTTCGAACATTCGAAATTAATGTTGGTTATAGTAATCTTGCTATAATTAGTTAGAAAAAAGTTAAAATTTAGAATATGGAATCATCTATATGGCCTCAATTCTTGCTGGAGTCTATTGAGATTTTAGTTCAAGAAACTAACAATATAGCCAAAGAATTTGTTTTAAATAGGTCTCTTAAGCAGAGTCTGCTCTGTTCAGTAGTTACAAACAATACAGAGACAAAGAACTCACTCATCCTCTTATATGATCGTATGAAAGTACTATTCAATGAAAATAAGATTGGAGTATTGGACTTGATAAAAAATTTTGAGAGATTTTTCAATTTGAGGGACAAGGCAAGGGATGTATTTTAGGGAAGAATAACAACCTGTATTTGCGATTTAAGTTATGCCTTAAGGACTTTTGAGAAAATTTACCTAGATATCGTCTAATCTATTGACATAGACTATGCTGAGTTTCAGCCACACAAAGACTTAATCAAAGAGATCAAAGAATAAAAGAATAGATAAATCAAATTTTGTGAGTAAAACTTTAAGACATTGAAGGAGGCTATCATGTGCAAAAAGACTGAAAAGAAAGAAGATTAATATCCTAATTTAAACATACTTCGAAAATCATATTCTACTTCAAAGGGTCAAATAATGAAAGAGCTAGAGTATATGATAAATGAGCTAGGAGTATAGGAGCCTGAGCTTTATCTTTAATAAACCTAGCCAAAAAGCGATGTTGAGGAGTTTTAGATTAAGGATCTTCAATAACTTTAGTCTATTAGAATTGGAGATGAAAATCATAGATCTTTGATGCTATTCTGGTTCACACATTTTAAATTAAAAACTGTAACAACCTTTGATATGTTTAGATACTAATTAGAGGAGTATCTTAAACTAACAATTCCTGATGAGGGTGATTTAGATGTTGAATTAAGTCTAGAAAACTTCACTAATCCGTATATTGTCTCCTATGTAAAAGATTAGGCTTATCTTGGATTAATCATTCCAGGTTTTAATAAAGACCCGATTGATCATCCATTCTTATAGAAGATTGTTCCAACAGTCAAAGATAGGACGATGCAAGTAGAAGATGAAGAAGGGTCTGAAAGAATAAGCAGGGGTACTAGAACAGATCGAACCTATGGAGAAGATTATTCAGATGATGAAGATCAGTGTAGTCAGAGAACTTTTGATCCTAGTCAGTTTAGATAAGAGCATAGAACTGAGGGAAGAACAGGGGGCAGAACTGGAGGAGCAGCAAATGAAATTGAAAATGAGGTACAAGTTGAAGAATCAAAAGGATTGCAATTTGGATTTCCTATTCAAAGCCTTGCAGATAGAACTAATAAAACTTCAACAAGAAGATATGGAGATGGTACTGTATGTTCTATCTCATAAGTTTCTACCAACAACAAGTATCTTTTCTCTATAAGTAAGGGTTCAGCATAATTTTCAAGCATGTCAACTACCTCAACATTTGCCTAAGGATAGTCTACTAAACCTAAAAGATAATTAGCACAAATATATCAAGGCTTAGAACTTAATGACAAATCCTATACAATTTCATTCAACATTGAAGTATCAGATTATGTGAGAAAGCAACTTATTGGCAATTTCAAAACCAAATTAAAAGTTAGCAAATTCTCACTAAACTCATCTGTGTTAAATCTAGGATCCTCGCAGACTCAATCTGATTTAATCTTTTCGAATAACAAAAGATTCGAGGATAATATCATTGGTTTATCGTACAATAATGATTAGAGATAATTTAGAATTATGGATTTATCTTTTAAAAATCAGCATTACCTATACGTAAACTTGAGAGAAGGAGATAAATTGAAAATATTTGACGGATGTATTTTAAGATTTGGTAATAAATACAGATATCTATTTACTTATTCCGAAAATGGAAGCGTATTAAATATGACATTGATGGAGGTAGACTAAGTACCCTAAAAAGGATAGTCTTTATCGGTTGGTTTTTAAGAGAGAGAAATAGGTATTGGAAGGAATAATGACAACTTCTTGGTCATTTAGTCAAGTTTTCTTAGCAAAAAATAAGGATATATAGTTTTTGATTCATCTTGCAGAGGACAGGCAGTATATCATCACTTATCATAAACCAGTTTAACTCAACCAGCTTTAAAGTTAAATGACTAGATTTAGGATGGATAGATAAGTGATATCAGATTAATTTAAGATTTATGTGGCAGCAAGGATAGAATCTCACTTGAATATTACAATTACAAGATTGATATCTCCAATTTATGCATCTAGGAATGAATCTTAGTCAATCATCTTTTATTCACATAAAAATATGAAAATTAAAGAATTATCTCATATAAAGATCATTTAAACCATTTAAAGACATTAATCTCCTTAAATGATTTTATTTTATTATTATCTTCATTTTATTAATATATCTTAACTTTATAAAAAGTGCATAAATATGATGATGTCTGTCAAAGTTGAGGTTCCAAATAAATCGCTTAAATTTGGAGCTTCTATAACTCAATCTCAAAAGTACCTAACAAGAGGTAAAAGTTTATAAAACTTGATTAATCAGGGTGAGATCCAAAAGTAGATACATAATCTCCAGTATTAATAGATGCAAACTAAAGTTATTCCTCAATAGGAAATGCATATTGTCACAAAGCTCAAATAACTTCAGCAGCACCCTGGAATTTAGCTTTAGCCAATTTATCAACCATAATTTTAGACAAAGCTCTTAGGGAGCAGTAGTATATCTATTAGAGAATATCAAGAGCTTCCTAGAGATGCTATGTCAACAATCAAGATAAATTAACTTAAAGGTAAAATCTACAAGAGAGATATGTCAAATAAACCTTCATCAATGAGAGTAGGGAGTTCTCCAGACTTCGTACAATTAGGATCAGCAAATAAGGACATTACAATTTAGAATCAAAAGACGCTCAAAAAGTATTAAGATATTACAGTTAAGCTATTATCTGATAAGCAATATATAATGTCTGAGGAATACTTGAACGATGACTCGTATTTGGATTTTAAGTACACTAATCAGATTAATGGGCTAAGTTTATAGTCACCAAGAAAGTTGAATATAGCGAATAAAGGGAAATAATCTTAGAGTAAAGACTTGCAAAAATTGGTCCCTCTGAACCAAAAGGGTTCTCAGATATTTAAACTCGAAGAATAGGACGATAATCAAATCAACTATAATAATAGCTCTGTGTATCTAAAACATGGATTGAATACCCATTATAATCTAAAAGGTAGAAAAGCCTTAAATTTAAATGTTGTTGATCTTTAAAACGGGGAGTCAAATGTAGAGATCGAAAGTATAACTGAGGATTAAAATCAAGAAATGAGGCCAACTTATGATCTTCCTTAAGAATATCTACAGGCTAAGAGTATTATAAATTCAAAATCCTCCTCAAGATTGCCAGTAATAAAAATTAAAGGAGAAAATAAGACTTAAAGTAAATTTTTGGAAAAGAGTGAATTCTTAGGAGTAGAGAGCTAGCAAAAAAAGCTATTTCCACATGATTATCATAAATAATCTCCAAAATATTAAAAGGTATCAAGCTAGCCAATGTTTTAAGCAGCAAAAACTGTCGAAGGCAATAATAACTTTAACAATTTAAATTATGATTTAAACTTGGAGGGAACTTTATAAAATTAACCTATTATACCTACAGTCAAATTTAAGAGAGATTCGTTCATTGAGGAGTCATAATAAAAATAGAATGATCAAGATATGAACTTACTATAGTAGTAACTGCAACATTAGAGTGTTTTATTAGGTCTATAGGAACTTTCTTAGAAGAAAGAAAAAAGAAGATAAATAATGAATATAAAGAATTACAACAAATTTAGATAAAAAATAGCGAATGAAGATCGTAAGTTTCATCTTCTTGCTCATAATTTATGTGACAATCTAAAAAGAACGCATATAAGATTAGATGTGGATGATTATAAGAATCTCAAGACAAAAATAAAAGAGGCTATAGCTATCAAATATGATAAAAAATCTTCAACCTAGCTAATGCACCACTGATACATATTCCTCTAAAGTAATTGATTTCTGAACTAATTCTAAATTCGTCAATAATATTTAAGAAGGGGTTTTGGGGTTTTGGGGTTTTGGGG